CCTTCTGTCAGATGTGGGGTTGATGAATATCTTTTCCTATTCTGTGGGCTGCCGTTTTGCCTTGCTGACTGTGTCCTTTGTCTTACAGAAGCTTCTCAGTTTCAGGAGGTCCCATTTGTTAATTGTCAATCTCAATGTTTGTGCTACTGGTGTTATGTTCAGAAAGTGATCTCCTGTACCAATTTGTTGGAGGGTACCACCTACCTTCTCTTCTAGGAGAGTCAATGTGGCTGAATTTATGTTGAGGTCTTTGATCCATTTGGACTTAAGTTTTGTGCATGGTGATAGATTTGGATCTAACTGCTGCAATCTTCTACAAGTTCGAATCCAGTTTTGTCAACACCATTGGTTGAAGATGCTTTCTTTAGCTTCTTTGTCAAAAATCAGGTACTCGTAGATATGTGGGTTAATATCAGGATTTTCAATTCAATTCCATTTGTCAACCTATCTATTTTTGTGCCAATACCAAGCTGTTTTCAGGACTATGACTCTATAATAGAGCATAAAATCTGGGATGGTGATGCCACTGGAAGTTCCTTTATTATACAGGGTTGTTTTGGCTATCCTGGGTTTTTTGTTTTTCCATTTGAAGTTGAGTACTGTTCTTTCAAGGTCTGTGAAGAATTGTGTTGGGATTTTGAGGGGGATTACATTGAATCTGTAGATTGTTTTTGTCAAGATTGCCATTTTTACTATATTGATCATACCTACCCAAGAGCATGGGAGATCTTTCCATTTTTCTGGTATCTTCTTTAATTTCTTTCTTTAAAGACTCAAAGTTCTCACTATACAGGTCTTCACGTTTTTGGTTAGCATTACCCCAAGATATTTTATGCGCCACCAACGCCCGCCGAGTACAGGTTTTCAAAGTATGACCTGATGATTGCTTGGATTTCCTCAGTGTCTGTTGTTATGTCCCGCTTTTCAATTCTGATTTTGTTAATTAGCATGCTCTCTCTCTGCCTTTTGGTTAGTTTGGATAAAGGTTTTTCTATCTTGTTGACTTTCTCGAAGAACCAACTCTTTGTTTCATTGAGTCTTTGTAATGTTTTCCTAGTTTCTACTTTATTGATTTCAGCCCTCAGTTTGATTATTTCCTGGTGTCTACTCCTCTGGGGCGAGTTTGCTTCCTTTTGTTCTAGAGCTTTCAGTTGCACTGTTAATTCTCTGTTGTGACTATTTTCCAGTCTCCTTATGTGGGCACTTAGTGCTAAAAACTTTCCTCTTAGCACTGCTTTCAAAGTGTCCCATAAGTTTGGGAATGTTGTGTCTTCATTTTCATTAAATTCTAGGAAGTCTTTCATTTCTTTTTTATTTCTTCCTTGACCCAGGAATGGTGCAATTGCGCATTATTCAATTTCCATGAGTTTGTAGAGTTTCTGCAATTTGTGTTGTTGTTGAATTCTAACTTTCAAGCATGGTGGTCTGATAAGATACAGGGGGTTATTCCAATTTGTTTGTATCTGTGTAGGTTTGCTACATTGCCAAGTTATGTGGTCAATTTTAGAGAAGGCTCCATATGGCACCAAGAAAAGTTATATTCTTTTGTGTTTGGGTGGAATGTTCTGTAGATATCTGTTAATCCGAATTGCGTCATAACTTCTGTTCTTTTGTTTCTTTGTTAAGTTTCTGTCTGGTGGTCCTATCTAATGGTGAGATCGGGGTGTTGAAGTCTCCTACTATAAGTGTGTGAGGTTTTAGGTGTTATTTGAGCTTTAGTAATGCTTCTTTTACAAATGTGGGTGCTTTCGTATTTAGAGCATAGATGTTCAGGATTGAGACTCCATCTTGATGGACTTTTCCTGTGATGAGTATGAAATGCCCTTCTTTATCTCCTTTGATTGATTTTAGTTTGAAGTCTAATTTGTTAGATATTAGGATTGCTACACCAGCTTGTTTCTTGGGTCCGTTTGATTGGAAATTCTTTTTCCAACCCTTTACTCCGAGGGAACGTCTGTCTTTGACATTGAAATGTGTTTCTTGTCTGCAGCAGAAGGATGAATTCTGTCTTCGTATCCATTCTTTTAGCCTGTATCTTTTTATAGGCAAGTTAAGACCATTGACATTGAGGGATATTAATGACCATTGTTAATTCTTGTTTGTTTTGGATTTGGTGGTGGTGTTGTTATTATGTGTGGATTTCCCCCCTTTTTTTCTTTTGGTGTTTGGTAAAGTGGGATTATCTATTGCCTATGGTTTTTTGAGCATAGTTATCTTCATTGGGTTGAAGTTTTCCTTCCAGTAATTTATGTAGGGCTGGATTTGTAGATATGTATTGCTTAAATCTGGTTTTGCATGGAATATATCTTATTTTCTCCATCCATAGTGATTGAAAGCTATGCGGGACACAGTAGTCTGGGCTGGCATCCATGTTCCCGTAGTATTTATAGAACATCTATCCAGGATCTTCTGGCTTTCAAAGTTTCCATTGAGAAGTCGGTTGTAAATTGGATAGGTCTGCCTTTATATATTATTTGGCCTTTTTTTTTTTTCTTGCTGCTCTTAATATTTTTTCTTTATTCTGTAAGTTTGGTGTTTTGATTATTATGTGGCAAGGGGACTTCTTTTTGTGGTTCAATCTATTTGGTGTTCTGTTAGCTTCTTGTACATTCATAGGCATATCCTTCTTTAGTTGGGGAAATTTTCTTCTATGATTTTGTTGAATATGTTTTCTGTACCTTTGAGCTGAATTTTGTCGCCTTCTTCTATACCTATTATTCTTAGGTTTGGTCTTTTCACCGTGTCCCATATTTCCTGGATATTTTGTGTTAGGGATTTCTTGGACTTGAAATTTTCTTGGGTCGATGACTATATATCTTCTAGTGAGTCTTCTATACCTGAAATTCTCTCTTCCATCTCTTGTATTCTATTGGTTATACTCACATCAGAGGTTCCTGATTGTTTACCCAGCTTTTCTATTTCCAGCATCCTCTCATTCTGTGTTTTCTTTATTGTTTTTAATTCTGCTTTCAAACCATGAACTGTTTGAATTGCTTCCTTCACTTGTTTGGTTGTTTTTTCTTGGCTTTCTTTAGCTTCTTTAAGGGATTTGTCTATCTCTTGAATTTTTTGGTTTGTCTTTTCCTCCATTTCATGTAACTTTTTGCTTGGTTTTTCTTCTATTTCTTTAAGGGATTTTCTTGTTTCCTCTTTAATGGTCTCTACCATCTTCATAAGATAATTTTTAAGGTCCATCTCTTCTTCATCCTCTGTGTTGGGCTTCTCATTTCTTGCTGGTATGGAGTCCCTAGATTCTTTTGGTGTCATATTGGTCTTTCTGTTGTTGAGTGTGTTCTTATTCTGTGGTCTTCCCATCCCTTCTTCCAATGGGCACAGGTGGGGTTTCTCCCTCTCTTCTAGTCTCCTCAAGCAAAGGGTGGAGGGCGAAACAAGAGTGAGGTGTGTCCGGACTCAGGGTGGGCCTTCTGGTCTGGGCAGGTCCACTCTAGTCCAGGGGCAGGCTCAGGATGAAGCAAGGAGGGGCTTTTGGGGGTTGTTGGGGCCAGAGCAGAGCCCAGGCTCACCTCAGGCGGCAGGCGGAAGGCAGAGCCTATTTTGGTTTTCTATTTTCAGGAGAAATAGACTGAGCATGGTGGCACATGGCTGTGATCCCAGTATTCAGGAGGTTGAGGCAGGATGATTAGGAGTCAGAAGCTGCTTGGGCTACATAGTGAGACCTGTGTCACAAAACCAGACAAGGAAGAGGAAATATGTACTAGGCTTACCACCCCCCCAACCTCCATGTAAGGGGTAAAATTTACTATCTCCTGTGGCTTTAATGCTTTAGCTGGAAACTCTTTTGAAGAATGTTTAGATGTGTGTGTAAAGTCCTACTAAGAAAAGCCAGTGAGGTGAGAAAAAAAATACTGATTTCAAGTAAATTAGGACACAAAGTATAAATACAGAAGTAGCCATAATGTGGGTTAATGTGGAAATGAGGGAGAAAAGGAGGGAGGGAGAAAAGACGAGGGGGAGAAAGAGAGAGATGGCAACACCGAGCAAAGATTTAGAAAGGTGTTCTGGGCCAGGTGAGAATCCAGTAGACCTTTATCTGTCTTTTTAAAAACAAGCCTGTGATTTGGGAACTGGTGTCCCAGTCCTGTAACTGTCCTTCAGCCAAAGTATGTATACTGCATACAGGGTTGATTCTCAGATAGCTAGTCTCTGCTGGTCCTTGGGAAAATAGTTACGGTTCTTTAGGGAGGCCTTGGCTGAGACTTTCCGCACTCAGGGTTTCTGTCTGTCCCCAGCATCATTCATTTGCTCAGTGCGGAGTCTAGTCAGAATGGAGGCACTGTGGTGAGACAGGTTGCTCAGGCAGGGACCAGCCGCTGTGTACATACTGTCAGGCAGGTGTCTAGCTAGTTGGGGCAGGGGCCCTCTGCACCGTGATGTATTCATCTCTTCTCACCCTAGCTTGACAGTCCTCACTAGAGTCACACTGGTGCCGAGGAACAGCAAACGTCTCCTTGTCTTGCTTTGCCAATGTAGATGAGTATTCCACAAATAGAAACTGGTTGGGAATCTAGATTGATTTATGACTAAAACATATGAATTTGTTTTAGGTATAAGGTAGAAAATGATAATTATTTGTAAATCAGGGCCTATAAGACTTGCTTTTTTTTCTTTTTCCATTTTTTATTTTTTGATTTCATTTTACATTCCAACCAGAGTTCTCCCTCCCACCCTCCTCCCATCCACCCCTTGCCTCCTCCCACCCTGCCTCACCTCTTCCCACTCTCCCTCACCTCCCCTCTGGCTCACCCCCAGTCCACTCCACCTCACAGGTAAGAGCTCCCATGAAGAGTCACCATAGTCTGGCACAATAGGTTGGGGCAAGGGCAGGCCCCATTCCTATTCGTTAAGACTGAGCATGGTATCCCACCGTAGGGAATGGGCTCCAACGAGCTAGCTCATGTACCGGGATTATATTGTGGTCCTACTGAAGACTTATTTATTTTAGTGTGACAGCATTGATTTATATATTTTGCCACTTCTAGCCCCTGGAGACGCGACTTATTTCAGAGACGACATCTATTTGCAAACCAGAGCAGGTGGCCAAACAAATTGTCAAAGATGCCATAGTAAGTAAAAACCCTTGTGTTGGTTATTGTGCTGTTTGTATTTATGCTGTATTTCTGAAAAACACATTAGGACTTGATTCTAAGGAAAACATCCAGCTGTGGGTCAGGTTTGTCTGATAGTAGCCTCCACTCTCCTCCCTTGAGACCTTTTGTTGATTCCATAGTAACCCGAGGCATGGAGTCAGGCTAAGTAAGAACTTCAGCTCCTAGGAAGTGTGTGAGTCCAGTGGAAGGCATGTCACCGTCTTTTTATTTATAACTTTAATGTTACTTACTGTGTGTGTGTGAATGTCGCCTTCATGCAGGGAGTGTTCTCTCCTTCTACCACGCAGGTCCAGGGGACTGAACTCAGGTGTCAGGCTTGCTCACTGAGCCTTGTCCGGACCTTCTCTCCTTTCCCCACACTTTGAGATCATCTAAGCCTGTGGCCAGGCTCAGGGTGGGTGTTTCATTCTCCTTCCTGGTCCCTGGTACTGCTTCCCTCATGATAAGGAGCTGCTGCAGGCTGCTCGACCCACCATACCCCTCCATGTGTGGGGAATTGGCTTTAGAAACCGTGTAAAGTGTTGTAGAATACCATGTGTACCACAGGTCTTTTGACAGCATTCCCATTAGTTCACGGGTGGAAAAAGGTTCCTTCTGGCGGATGTGCATGAACCCCGGTGACCTACATGACTTTGGAAAATCTGGTGTCCATTGCTATGAGAGGCATCCAGATAACATCGTGCAGTTTCTAAGCATCGAAAGCACTGTTAGGCCAAACTGAGCAGAACAACTCAGTGGGTAAAGGTGCCTGCTACCTATCCTAATAACCCGAGTTCTTCAAAATCCATTGGCAGAAGGAGAGAACTGACTCCTTCAAGTTGTCCTCTGGCCTCTACCTACATGCTGTGGTGCACACATATACATAAGTAAATAAATAAATAAACATTAAAAAAGAAAGAGAGAGTGGCCCTAGAGAGATGGCTCAGTAAGTTGTGCAAGCATAAGGACCTGAGCTCAGGTCTCCAGCACTGACATAAAAAGCCAGTGTGGTTACACCTGTCTGTAACCTAAGACCTATGTGGGCAGAGACAGGCAGATCCCCAGAGTTTGTGAGCCAGCCAACCTAGCCTATAGGTTAGCTTAGCCAGGGTCATTTAGAGATCCTTTCTTAAAAGATATAGTGTAGAGTGATTGAAGTAGACACCCAACATTAACCTCTAGTTCCCCTCCCCCCACACACACTCTCACAGTTCGGTGGAATAGTTGCCTCGGTTACCTTAAGAGGCACAGAGCAGTGGAATAGGAGACATGATAGGATAAACTAGTTTGCTTTTCTCTCAAGTCAAAACAAACACACTCAAGGTGTTTTTTTTTTTTCCCAAGATTTAAAAAAAAAACAAAAAATGTGTCTCTGTGGGTTCCTGCAAATATGCATGCACACCGTGTGTGCGGTGCAGTGCTCAAAAAGGCCAGAAGAGGGTGTAGACTCCCCTGGAACTGGAGTTATACGAGTATGTGTTGCCTCATGTTGATGCTAGGATCCTCTATAAGAGCAGCAAATGCTCTTCACCAACTAGGCTTTTAATGACTCCAAATAGTGCGTCCAGTCTTGGCAAGATTGATCTCCTGAGGCAGTTTGCAAACTTTTTTCTTCCCTTGGCCCCATCATACTTTTATAAATTATTGACACCCTCCCCCAAAAAACCATATGTTTATCTGGGCTTTATTTCTCTTGTTTATTTGTTTGTTGTTTTGAGATAGGTCTCACTGTATAGCTCTGGCTGTCCTAGAACTCACTATGTAGGCCAGGCTGGCCTTGAATCACAGATACACCTGCCTTTGCCTCCTGAGTGCTGGGATTAAAGGCATGCACCATCACACCTAACAGGTCTATATTTCTCAATACTTGGCTATAATAGATACTGAAAGTGTAGTCTCTAAACTATTTAGTTGTGGGGCTGTAGAGAGTAATCAGTAGTGAGTTCTTATCTTGCACGTACTTAGTCCTGGGTTTCCTCACCAGCATCACCAGAGGATGATGGAAGCGATATTAGTTATGAGATGAAATCATTTAAAATCAAATTAATAGGGACTGGAGAGTTGGCTCAGGGCCTAAGAACACTTGTTGTTCTTGCAAAAGACCTGGTTTGATTCCCACCACCCACATGGAAGCTCACCACTTCCTAGGGCACCAGGCACACATGTGGTACACAGGCATACATGCAAGCAGCACACACACACACACACACACACACACACACACACACACCAAAATCGAAAAGAAAGGAAAAAGAAAATAATAAAACTGCAATAAACATTAAATTCTTTTAAACAGATTTATTTGTTCGTTTAGTGTATGTTTGTGCCTGAATGCATGAATGCATAATGCCTGCCTGGCCAGGAGACAGCATCATATCCCTTGGAACTGGCATTCCAGGCAGCTGGGCACCTCCTCTTGTGTTTTCTTTTTTAGTGTGTGTGTGTGTGTGTGTGTGTGTGTGTGTGGGTGGGAGAGAGAGA